ATTTTTAAATTAACAAGCCTAAACCACCTGAGGCACTTGGTCGCATAACTATTTACATCCGAAAGCCATCTCCAGATGATGATGATGACCGCAAACCCCCTCTACGTGTTTATATTCCTGCTGCTCGCTATTATGCGCGACGATTTCGTATGTTTACCGATGATTTACCTAACTTTCGATGTATTCGATAATTTTCTTTTGTAGCTTTGAAAGGTCCATTTTTAAATTTCATGCTCTCAACACCTATCTTTGCCAATCGAGCAACTCAAGAAACAATTATTTATTCACCGTCACGAGGTAAATAGTATTCAAATACAAAGAAAATATTTGTTCTAAGATGACTTTAGTTTACATTCTACCTGCATTGACTGATGGTCGTGGCAAACTATATTCGATAGCCAGACTTATTGCAACAGGTTATGCTAGTTTCACCGCGGAGGAAATGCATTCATCCAAGTCAATTGATGTGAATACTTATTTTCAATCAAGCGCAGGTCTGTTGTGTTCCAAAAATTCTCATCTTATATTAACCTAGTATATTATAGTTACTGGTGCTCGTGTTCCAAAAATAGACACTCAAAGAGGTGGTTTTTCGAGTGGTCTCCGTGTCAACGTTGATTCTTTTGGTATTTATGGCGATGAAGACATGAATGATGATAGTGACGAGTACTATGAAGAGGATAATGATAAAAACAACAAGCATCATCATACATATGATAAACCACGTCACCGGAATTCAAGTAATATACATTTCCTTTAAGTTTTCTCATCCAAACCATAGATACTCTTCTATTCTTTATCAGTATTTTATCATTTAATTAGTTTTAAAAACATAGAGTATGCATTAATATTAAGTACAGAAATTCTGATTTTCTAGAACTAAAACGTTTTTCATGCCATGGGAGTGATTTGTTTTCTTTGAAGGACCATCATACAGGACAAAACCATCAAACAAAAAGACCACAAGCTCATCAAAATCTACCACCACAGGTAAATACTAAGTGAAAAAGTTGTGCAAGTTTTTTTTTCTTTCGTCTTGAGAGTGTAGGTGTGAGTGTTATCTTCACTTAATATTCATACCCACACTCATAAAGTCAAAAAGATACTCTTGTTGTTGACAATTAAAATATATTTCATGTTGCTCTTGCAATTAGTCATCGTATACTCGACTATTTTTTTTTCGTAGAAGACGACTCATCAGAAACGACAATAACATCAACCAAGAAGACCACAAGTGTATCAACAGCAACAAAGAGTAAGTAGCATGTGAAGGTATTTCGAGTCTTTTTTGTAACGTACAAATAGAAAATACTGAGTGCAAATGAAAGTTTTTTACGCTGAATCTAATTTACTCCTTGATTTTAATTCAAAACCTTTGACAAGTTCAAAAGAATGTCATGATGAAAGAGAACGTGTTCGATACACAACTTTCTCTCTGTTTATTCGCTGAGTTAGTAATGAAGATATTTAGTACAAAGAATAGATCTGCTATTAAAATTATATGAAGTTTTGCATTTGTTTAGAATCAGTTCCACATTACGATCATGCTGGTGTTAATTTTACATTGATTCTCGAATACATTTTTCCATATCCTCAATCTAAGAAACCCGTTATTGGCATTAACGGTACATCTCCTGGTCCATTGATTGATGTGTTCGAAAATGATACAGTTATAATTCGAGTCATTAATCGATTAGATGTTCCTACAGCCATTCATTGGCATGGTGTTCGACAAATAGGTACACCAGATATGGACGGTGCTGTTGGATTAAGTCAGTGTGCTATACCTCCAGGACATGAAATGATTTACAAGTTTCAAGCAACACCAGCAGGATCAACATGGTATCATGGACATCTTCTTGAACAACTCACAGACGGATTATTTGGACCATTAATTATTCGTCGTCGCCCGGAATCATATTCAGATTTGTATCAAAGCGAACAAATACTTACAATCGCAGATTGGTACAATATTCCTGCGCACACGGGACTAGTCCCCTATCATTATAGTCCAACAAATCCTTTTGGTCTTCCTCCTCCACCAGATGCTATTGTGGTAAATGGTAGTTTTACTCAGTCGTTGGTCATTCCAGCTAATGGTTCAGAAGTTATTCGATTTCGTGTAATATGTGCTACTGCATTCTCAATGTTTACAATATCAATTGATGGTTTGCGGTTATATATTATTGAAGTCGATACAACAACGACCATACCTTATGCAGTCGATTCGTTTACAGTAAATGTTGCCCAACGTGTTTCATTCTACGTTAACTTGACCGAATTAGATCCGACTTATAATTCATCCGGTACCCCATCAGTTTATATACGAATACAAGCTAATGAGGCAGTCTATGCTCAAGACGTTCCTCATTTTATTCCTCCTTACGAAAATCGATGTTATCCTTATCCAACTTTCTTCACTTCATTGTATCTTGCCGTTTTATCACTTGATTCAACAAACTCAGCACCAACATATGCAGCTAGTTCAGCGACTCCAATCCTATCGAATGTTAGTCCTCCACTGGATACAAATATTCTAGATGCTCGACCTCTAATTCGAAATGCAGACGGAATTCCAGATTCAACTCATTACTGTTATATTGAGGTTACATTTGGTGCCGATTCAGATGGATATGGTGTTGCATTTGTGAATAACGTCACATATAGTTCAGATGCAAATTATATGCATATGAGAGATGATCCACCAGCGGGATTTACTTCGGACTTATATGAACCCTTAGTCTTTCAAATGGTCAGAAAGGCTGGTCAATTAGCAATTCCATCACCTCTTCTTCAAGCGGGAAACGATTTGCCAGTTATTCAAAGTGATCAAAACGGACATTACTTAATCCCTTATCAAGCTGTTGTTGATATTCTTATAAACAACACAGCTGGTGGTGAACATCCTTTTCATTTACATGGCCATAATTTTTGGATTGTCTCATCATCGGACTATCCCGAAGCTGAAAAGCTGTATGCAGGAGACTATATTCAACGTGATACTGTCAGTGTACCAGCAGGCGGTTGGGCTAAAATTCGATTTGTAGCCGATAATCCTGGTGCTTGGTTCTTTCATTGTCACATCGAATGGCACATGGCAGATGGACTAGCTGTAGCTATCATTGTTGCACCTGAACAGCTTTTGACTAATGGTTATAATATTCCACAAAGTGGACAAAAACAGTGCGAAGCACTACAACGATTCAATACGACTTATGACCCTGTATTACCCTCAAATTAACTAACAAGAACAAATATCCATATTTTATAGAACTCTTCATTTCTTTTTTTGTTCAACAGAAATCTGTATCAATTTTTAAATATTAATCTATGTATTTTTGTTAATAGGTAGACACTTTTTCAATAAATCATATTCTTATTATTAATTTTGTCTAAAGAAGAGAAGCAATTCATAGAATATATTACATTATACAGTATTTACTAACAGTATTTTAAACTATTCCAATTCTCTAAATAGATTCGTAACGTAAGCAAACTCCATCATAATAGCCTTAGTATACATAAATCTTTAAGAGTTTTTTTTGGTCAATATTCTTATCTAGTACACTCATTCATGTTAGAGAATGTGCAAGGAAAGAGAAAAAGAAGTCTTTTTTCTGTATATCATCCTTCATAAAACATTTTTTTCTCTTATCAGTACCATGTTATTTGCACTAATTGTGACAATTTCAGGTCTAGTATAGAGCTGTATAAGATTTGGTATACATGTTTACTTTTATTCTTCAAAAGGAATCATCTGTCAACTGAATATTTTTCGTGCCTTATATAGCACTCAAAACATCCAGTAGCTTAATATAGAAAAGTACAAATACTAAAAGGTAACAGTATCGAAAGGTAAGAGTACTGAGAGCAAAGACAAATATCAAAAGGGTGTGGGTGTGGATGTGGATATGATTGTGAATACAAGAAGTGTAAAACTCCTAAACCCACACCACTATTAAATAATTAGGATAAGCGCATATTTTTAGAAATACTTTTGGAACTTCTATGTAATTGCTGAAATAAAGTACGTAATTTTGCATATCAAACATTGTATATTCTAGTCATAGAAGAGAAAATATTATTGTACTAGAATTAAAACTATCTCAAGATTCTATTTTCTTAATCAGATATTATATGGATAAGTCAAAGTGAAAATATTTTAAATTAGTACTAATTACTAATAAATATATGATTTCTGATTACAATCTAGATCGAGTCTTCCTTTAGAAATAATGTATGTAAAAGCATATTCTATGATATTTAGAATATCATGTAAATTAATAGATCTCGTTCTTTCTTTTTATATTTGATATAAATGAAATGTGATAATTCAATAGTATTATTTTATCTATCACATAAATATACGACCTTGATTTTTTGTTATCTTTGTTCAACTAAAGAATACTTAAGCATTAAATCAAAGAATAATAGCAATAATAGTATCTGATTCAAACCAATGATTCGAATAATATATTCTACGAACTCAATACTAGTTTAGAAGGAAAAAAAATTTCGTCTCATCCCAATTTCCTAGACTATTTTCAAATACATCAATGAAATTCAAACAACAATTTGTAAGCAGACAATGATTTTATTATAGCGAATTTAGAAGAATTTTTTTAAAACAATTAGTATTGTGTAGTATTATTTATGAGGAATATGCGAAATCGTCGACGATAATGTGATATTGCATGTTTGAATTCTTTTTTATAAATTGGTGATGGTAGAACAAAAATTAAAAACATACATGTTGATGGTATAAATGAAAGAAAATAACCACTAAGATAAAACCACAATAGATGAGTTGATTTATCACATTTTAAAACAAATGAAATGATTAAATGTGGTAATGTTAAAGTTATGATAATCATAGGACTAATTAATAGATGTTTATGTTGTTTAATTTTAGTTACAAGATGTTTTTTGAAGCTAAGATTTTTTTGAGAAGTTGATCGTTGACGAGTAGTAATTATAATAATAGTAGCAGCTGAAATAAAGTTAATTATTAATGGACCTACATAATGAAACATTATTAATGTAAAACTATATATTTGTACAAATGATGTATAAGTAACAACACACCAGCTTCGTTCTTCAGTTTTATCAGTAAAAACACGAAGGTCAATTATTTGTGGAATATAAATAGCAAAATTGCTTAAAATCATTGTTATAATAACATATTTAGCAACTCTTAAGCTTTTCTGTTTATCAAAATTAATTCCTTGTCGTACGGAAATAATTCTTTCTATAGCGACGCAAGCATGCAGCCATTTATCGATATATAATATGACTTTGAGAAGTGGTTCAACAATTCGACAATTTAAAAGAAGAATAGTTTGTAAACCACGTTCTTCTAAAGTTAATTGATAAGACAGAAACAGTAACCAAAATTTCAATGTAAATAATATCATAATTGCTAATGAATTAATTGATGCAGTCAAAAGATAAATGCCACAGCCAACTTTTTGTGATGCTTCTCTTCGGAAAATCATCATTGATAAAATACAGTTAACGAGACCTATAAGAAATATAATCATTGTTATAATAGCACTCACTTTAACTGTAATAGGTTGTTGAGATAATATAACATTACGTTTAAACTCATAACCTAAAATTTCATCTAATGTTGAACCAAGAGCTTTGGCATAAAATTGACATTCATTACCAAAAAAGCATTCAGGACATATACATATTCTTGTCGATGGACAAGTTGGATGATCTTGTACACATTCTGCTTCATTTGCACAATATTTTTTTAATTTACATTCAAAATTTCTATTATGTTTAAATTCCATGCAGTTAGCATGATGTTCATTTGTACATAAACATAAATAAGCTTCATCAATAAAACAAGTTAGATCATAATTCATATGACAAAGTTTATGAAAAAATACTACGCGTCGATATTGAGTCATATTCAATATTGTTGAATTTAATAAATGTTCCACAGGAATACATTCTTGTGTCGAGCGAATTGATGTAGAAAGATCTATTTGTGGTAATTGTTGAATAACAGCAAGATAAAATTTCTTATTAGCTTGAACAATGGCCATATGATATAACATTGAAATATAAAAAGTAACACTATGTTGAAAGAGTGTTAATTTTTGTAATTTAATCGTAGTAATTGGATTTGATTGATTTGATAGTGTAAAGAAATAACCAACGACATAAGCTGGAATATCAATACCAATTAGAGAAACATTAAGTCTTGCTTTTAAATTTTGACACTTGTAACCAAAATATCGATCAGGACAAATACATGTATAACGACTATTAGATTTGGTTACATCAGCTGGTACACATTTGCCATTATTTTTACAAGCATTAATTGGACATGTTGATGTGAATAAACATCGTGAACCAAATTTATTTAATGGACATACACATATTGATTGATTATATGTAATTCCCAAATGAAATGAATCATATGAACATATTTGATGATTTATTGATATATTACAATGAGTACCTGTCCATTTAGAATTACATCGACAAAAATATTTATTCTTATTTAAATATTTTACACATCTGCCATTCACGCAACTAGTTAAGCAACTTGATGAATTATCAACTGATTGATTTGATAAAATTAATGAAATACCCATTCGATTGATAGGTAAGAAAAGAAAATTAATAGGAAAATACCAACTTCCAACGTATGTTATTTGAGTTTTTTCAAATGCATCAATACGTATACTATAATTATGAGAAATATTTTTTGGACGTTCTGGAAATAATAAATATCGATTAAGTTTTACACTACAACTTTGCTTTGTTATATAGACAAATTGATCATATGAAATAATATCTTGTCGTTTATCGATCTCATCAATTAACATAATAACAATAGCATAAGTAGTATGTCTATCAACTGAACTCAAATGTAATGTTAAACTAATTCGTTGGTTTTGATATTGGCATAAGTGACCATAGTAACTTGGTGGACATTTACATACATTATTAAAAGTATCATTTTCACTTCGAAGATGAACAGTAAGTCCACGATTACAATACCACGAACTGTTGCCAATTACAAATGTTGTGGAATTTGTAACCAACGGTTGATCTATTGGCCAAGAAAAGCTTTCATTGATAAAATTTTGTTCTAATGATGGATAACTAGGTAATGTTCGAACAGAAAAATATTGAATTCGACGATTGTCTTGTTCACTTAGATCACAAAGAACTTGTTCAACTTCATTTCGATTGTATATTAAATCATTCTTACAGTTAAAAACTTGAAAGATATCACAAAGTTCTCCTTCATCTTCACGACTTTTTGGACAATCTAGTTCATCATCACATAATTGAAATGATGATAAACATTCATTATCAGTTGAGCAGCGAAAGCGTAGTGATATGTCAGTTGGAGGATAACGTCTTCGGCATTCATGTTGTTCATCTGACGCACCTAAGCAATCAACATCGCCATTATTAACACGTTCAGAGGGTAAACAAAATACAGTATAATTAAAACGATCTACACATGCTTGAGTTCCTGATGGGCATTTACCGTGACCACAATTATCTTCATCTCGTCCATCTTTACATGCCCAATAACCATCACAACGTGAATACATATTATTACATAACCATATTTCACATCCTTCTTCATCATCATATTTTATACCATCATGATCATTATAAAAGTATTCTTTGACACCATTACAAAAACGATCAAATGAAACGACTCCATGTTCACCATGTAATAGACAAACTTCGTTTTTCAATATAGGAGACCAACATGTATTAGTTTCAGCACATCTTACGCGATATTTATCATTAAGTTGACAGCTATGTTCATACGTCTCATCATCTAATTGAAAACAATCTATTTGTCTATTCCTGATACGACTTGAAGAGATAACTTTCAATGAGTTTTGACATTGATATAATGATGAATAAATTGTAGGATCTTTTGTTTTGTTTTCGTAAGTAACATGAGAAATTAAACATGGACGAAAATGTCGTTCAATTGCTGATATTATTTCAATCCAAGATTCCATGATATAACTCATTCTTAATCTTAATTCAGAAACATCTAGACAAGTCAGATTTTCACGAACTAAATCTGGTTTCATAAACTGACATAATTGTTGATCATAGCAGATATAATCAGGAAAAAAGAATTCTTTTATACTTCTATTCAAATGAAACTTTTCATAGAACAAACGAATATGAGGAGCATGAATTGGTACGGTTGGAAATTGGAAAAATGAATTGCATTCTTCATGA